GGCGGAAATCAGGAGAGTGCCCGGGTTCTCCACCGGGAGTACAGCCCTTCCGACACTCTGGGTAATGCAGAAGGCTGCAGTATTGGGGAGCCTTCATGTTCTCCGGAAAGTTCTTGGTTGGTTCGACTAGGTAGCGTTTCCTGGTTGAAGTCCCATTCGCTGTCTGAGCAAGGGCCATGAGCTGATGATGAGCCTTACCAGCCTGACTGTGCCAGGATCCCCCGAAACCACTCTGCTGCATTTTATCGAAGCGCACATTAAACGTCTAGTTAAGGAAAGCTCTTTTAAACAGAAGGGTCTTCAGAAAGGTTTTGAATGTCGGAGCAAGTCTTTTTTCGATAGGAAGTTGATTCCATTCTGTCGCTGCTGAGTAAGAGAAAGAGCGATGTCCATAGCTTGTAGTCTTAGTTTTCAGGACACAGAGGAGATGTTGTGCTTGAGATCTGAGAGTTCTCAGTGGTCTGTAAGGCTGCAGTAGCTCACACAGGTATCAGTTGCGTCACTAGCAATGCATTTGCAAGCAAGGCACAGGACTTTGTAGGAAACACGTTCTTTCAATGGAAGCCAATGACGACATTGGAGAATGGGAGTTATATGGAAAATATACAGTCATACCAGCGATTTATTTACATTACAGAGTATATGGATATGAGTTATTTCACACTACAGAGTATACTGATATGAGTTATTTCACACTACAGGGTACATGTATATGGATATAAGGTATTTCACACTACAGAGTATATGAATAGGAGTTATTCTACACTACAGGGTATATGGATATAAGGTATTTCACACTACAAAGTATACTGATATGAGTTATTTCACACTACAGTGTATATGGATATAAGGTATTTCACACTGCAGAGTATATATGGATACTCAGGGTATTTCACACTAGGGCTGAAACGATGCATCGAACTATCGATGGATTCACACTACATTGTTGAGTCTCAGATAGCAATTAATCGAATATGAAAATTATCGATGCATCGATAGTGTGTGTGGCTATCGACAGTTTAGTAATTGACTATCCGTTGCGCAGAGCAAAATACAGGAAGTACTAGATACGTTCACTACAGAGTGATTTAGAATTATCCACCCGTTACCTCTTAAACAAACATGACTGTTTACTTGATCTGGGTTTCAGGTATTTCTTGTCAGTTATTAAAAGAGACAGAAACGGGCGGACTATATCAATATTTTTTATTTCATATAAACTGTACATTCATTTCAAATGAGGGAAATGACTTTGCAATGAGACAATTCAATGAGAAAAAACTATCTATTGCAATAGTTGTTTCCCCCCAATAGTCACCCCTATTTCACACTGCAGAGTATAAGGCTATCAGGTATGGATATGATTCTACACTACAGGGTATATGGATATAAGTTATTTAACACCACAGTGTATATGGATATATGAGTTTCATATAAGTTATTTCATACAACAGATTAGATCAATGAAAACCATAGTCTGCACTTATTACTGGACACTTGACCAATGTAGGTGAACGGCTCAAGGTCACGGACAAAGGTCACGAGCTACATCTTTTTGTTAGGTTTGACTCTCTGACCAGCACAATACACTTAAGACACACACCTGAATACAGCGTATTGATCACATCGACCAGCGTCACTTTCTAGTCGAGTCAGCACTTTCGTCCGCCCACTCGGAACGTCTGTTGAAACTGTCATACTGACGAATGCACTTGTAAAATATTCTTTCCCCGCAAAAGCGATACGATTTGAATACGTGCAGCGCAGGTGAGGTGGGGTGAAATGGGGTTTAACGTCGTACTTAAGAATATTTCGCTCATATGACGACGTGCATGCGTGTGTCTGTGTGGCTGCTTGTACTAGCCCAGACTTAAGCTGTTGTTATAGTGCTAGCTCACTGAGATACCATGCCGCAGTAATGCATGAATACCCCACTCAGACACATTATACTGACTCCGAGCCGACCAGTCCTTGTTGTACCCATTAATGCCGACTGCCAGGCAGGGACCAACAAGTACCATATTTTAACGTCTTTTGGTATGACGCAGCAGGGGATCGAACCCGCGACCTTCTGTTCTCCGGGCGGACGCTCTAACCACTACACCACGGAGGCGGTACCGTAGGTGGGTGGGTGAGTGAGTTTAGTTTTAGGCCGCTTTTAGAAATGGTATTGCAATATCACGGTGGGGGGACACCAGAAATGGGCTTCATGTAGGGAATCGAACCCGAATCTTCCCAAACGCTTTTACAATCAGGCTACCCTACCGCCCCAATACAGAATAATAGATGTATGATGCCACATGTTTTTCTTCACGTGGTTATGATGTGATATATATGTATATTGCAGTATATTTAAAATATAGCATTAATAAAGTATTGATGCAAAGTAAATGTAAGTTTATAGCAGAAATAATAGTTTGTATGTATGGCTACATATAGACAATATTTGATGTGATATATTTTGTCCAATGAATATTTTTACGATTGTCTCATGGTTAAATATGTTTATCAGACATAAACAATTTCAACACAACCTGTGTCTGTTCTTCATGTCATGAATAATCCTGGTTCTATACGGGGCAGGCACATTCTTCTGCCATCTCACATCTCACAGCCGTAAGTGAAGTTTTTAGAACACTAGACCAGATCTATTTTGGTGGCTTGACCACTATGGTGCTGAGAGACTATTACCATCACTGTCTGTCTTGACTGTTATTTCCACTGCCAGTATATACTGCCATTGTATGCTGTACTGCTGCTGATGTAAACAAGGGAGATAATCATGTGGACACGTGGCTTCATTACTGTAAAGAGTGAGTGAGTTTAGTTTTACGCCGGACTCAACATTATTCCAGCTATATGGCGGTGGTCTGTAAATAATCATGCCTGGACCAGACAATCCAGTGATCAACAGCATGAGCATCGATCTGCGCAATTGGGAACCGATGACATGTGTCAACCAAGTCAGCGAGCCTGACCACTCGATCCCGTTAGTCGTCTCTTACGGCAAGCATGGGTTACTGAAGATCAATATTTTAACCCGAACTTTCACGGGTTTATTGTAAAGAGTGCGACGTCGTCCTTCATCAAACAAGCAATGGCCACTTGCTTGATGACGGTGTCAGTTTTTACACCGAAAACCTCGCGCCGATCCGGGTTAGAGCCGGTCTTCAGCAACCCATACTTGTCGTAATAGCGACTAACAGGATTGGGTGGTCAGGATCGCTGACTTGGTTGACACGTCATCGTATCCCCAATTACGTTCATCGATGCTCACAATATTGATCACTGGATTGTCTAGTCCAGACTCGAATATCTGCAGACCGCAGTCATATATAGCAGCTGCATATTATTAGTGCTGAGTGGTTTGTTAAACAACAAACCAAACGTACACCGAAATCAATGTACCATAGACTATAGAAGTCGCACGCTTCAATTAATCAATAATATGTCTCAATATTATTATGTCCATCCATTACGTCCAACCATTATTGTTCATCATTGTTCATGTTTCTGATGGGAGCGGGCGGTAATAAGTTACATAACTTGTGCCCAATCCATTTCAACACTGAATAAAATATGTTCAAACAAACAGAAGTCGCACGTGTATAGAACCATCGCACTCGCCATAAGGGCTTCTAATGTCGTTTAATCGCTATATGGCTGTAATATTGCCGATACGATGTAAATTTTAACTCACTCTAATCTCATTTAAAGAAGGAAGCAGCCTTTGTGCAATGTCATTTATTCCCTTTCAGTAATAATTTGTAAACCTAGTTAATTCTACGATACAACTATTCGTCTTCATTTCTTTGTCGTTTGTTGGTTCACACGAAATTCTAGTGTGTGTAGATGTCGAGATTAATATTGATTCAACATGGAGATCGACAGTTAACAGCATATAATCCACTAAAAAAAACCATTTCTTTCTTACAATAACTGATCTTATACTGCCCCGTGTATCATTACCTCAGGGGCTCTCTGACAGCTTTGTCATATTATCCAAAGTTTCAAGATATTGATTGCTGTACATGTACAGTTTCCATTCCAGGGTCTTCAAATGGCGTCAAACTCTTGCTGGATTAAAGAGACGTGTTTGAACCTAGCTGCACTCTAAACCGGACATAGATGGTGTTCTGCAAGTTTGGTTTTGAACAACTTCTGTTGTACCGTCGTGCGTGACGTAATCCGTTACCCGTACTCCATGAAATTTGTTTCTTTCTTTAAAGCTGCAGTCAGCAATATTCCAGCTAAATGGCGACAACAAAGAGGCTAAATTTCTGAAAAGTATTGAAAATCAAAAGAAATTGTAGTTATGGTAAGGTAGATATGGTTTCGTCTTGAAAAAAGTTCCTACGCCCCTGCGATGTCGGGTGAATAGTCTCAGGACACTTGTACTGTTCACTCTTATCAAGTATTTTTTCTTTGGGATGCTGTGTATTGGGTACAATGTGTTGAACATCGCCAACTCGTAAGAAGAATTTACAGTGTGCTCGTACAAACCCCTGCTATTTAGTGACCGACAAATATTAGTTTTCCATTTCATTTACCTCAATAGCCGACCCCATGTTTCAGGAAATGAAATCCGTAAATTCAACAAGCCGAATGGCAGTGTTTTCTAAGTTCGGACTGCGATGCAACTCAGCAAGAGTGAGTGAGTGAGTATAGTTTTACGCCGCTTTTAGCAATATTCCAGCAATATCACGGCGAGGGGAAATCAAGTTATCAAGAAAACTATTCCTTCACAATGGATAGTCCACATGAGTTCCCGGCTTCGAATCACATTTATCACGTTTTTGAAGCAATCAGATTGCAGAACTTCCATTCCGTTTACAGTTTGCCCCCCACACAAAGGTTCCTAGGATACATTTCTGCAGCCCCTGTGCAGACGACCCAACAGCCTCGCTTTGAGCTTTCGCCTCGCAACTGTTCATGATATTTAAAGTGGGTCAAACCCTCCAGTCCTTCAAACAGAGATTGAGGAAAAACAAACTAAATAATTAATTTTCATTTTCATCATTTTATGCCAATAATGACATGCAATCTGTGGTACAATCAACCAATGGTTATTTGTTATTCATGACTGCCGTGAACTGCTTCCAACTGACCTGACTGCCATATTATAATAATAAAATATTAAAAACAATAATTTTAATAATCACAATATACCAAAGTGCTGTCAGGAGCCCACAACAACCTTCTCTCCTGCCAATCAACTGGAAACAGATCAAGCAGCCATGAACACAACAATGAAGTTGAATTTCAATATCAAACAGTTTTTTAGCAAAAATAAACCTGCATCCTGCAAGTTACTGACTATGAACTTCATGAACCTGATTATATAGATGAACCAGCTCCCTACCAGAGGGAGACAACACACAACATGTGGTAACCATGGAAACAGGTGACACTCCAGGCATATACGACAGTCATCAGATCCACATGGCGCCATAACAACCTGACATCTAAAGGATCCTAATTGTTGGCATCAATGGTGCTGCAGCCATGATTTTCACTGTCAGCACCAGAAGAGGATCCATATTAATGCTGCTTATATTTTTCTGCCGTTTATTTTGACGCCACGTGTATGTGGTGAAAATAATAAAGTTCAAAACATCGAACTCCCCTCCATTGAAGATATAGCATGTATGTACATTACAAACCGAGCCATGAGGCTATATGTCTTATGTCGATGACCGCGACCAAGTCCCTCCCTCCCATTATTTTTTTTTCAGTTTACAGGATTCAATAGTAAAAAACTTGCTCTTGAGATAATAAAAATTAAATAAGCTTCTTACAGGATTTATGTTATCATCTTAAAGATTAATATGGATTGTTAGATGAAAAATGCTTTTTTAAAAATCGGCCATGTTTGTATCCTCATAAATATTACAATCTTAAAATCTGACAGAGGCATTTCATCGTCAACAAAATCTTTACTGTTGGCTGCATTAAAATACTTTGTATTCTGCTTTGTTTACTTCTCAAGTTTCAATCAAAATGTTAAAAGATCCATGAACCAAACTAAAACAATGAAAGGCTTCAGTATGAACAGATGTGAGCATTATGCAATTTGGGAAAGTCAAAATAACATGAATTTCTTCAAAAATATGTTGCTAAAAACTCACAGAAAACGTCAGAGAATCACACACAGTTTCAGTTGAAGAAAAACCTTAGGTCCAAATATCTCAAAAACTCCAAAATGGAAACAGATTTCACACAATGATAAAATATACTTTACAATACTGTATAAGATGGCCGTACTGTATAGATACATGTATCACTGTTACTGATTTTCATGCTTTAGGATTTTCATTTTTTTCACCAAGAATTCTTGCTACAATTAAAATAACTAATGCAAAAGTTAAGCATATCAAATTTTGACCCCTTTACAATTTTTTTTCGCCAGGAATTCTTGCTACAATTAAAATAACTAACGCAAACGTTAAGCATATCTAATTCTGACCCATATGCACAATATATTTCAGACTTTGGACAGAATCCTACCTTGGGTTTATAATCCTATTGGTGAACGTCATATTTTGTACAATTCACATCCTCTGCTGATTTCTTTCACATTACGTAATCTCCAACTTAACAGTGCATCCTCGATACATTATATAGCATATCAGTTAGAACCTTTAGAACTTCATTACCTACATTATACCTACCAGTTGATAAATCTAATATCCTCTACTGCATATCCGTCATAACTTCCTACCTGTATAACTCAGTGTCCTACCCAATGTCATAACTTTGTATCCGTCAGTGAATAACATTATAACACCCACCCTTTATAACTTATATCCCACTTAAGAATTTCCTATCAGTAATAACATTGTATACTGTTCTGCATATCCGTTATAACATATCCATTATAACTTCGTATTCCTGATATCTTGATAGCCTATATAACTATATATCCTTTATGTGTTATAACTAGATATGTTTCAAGTAGGCATTAGCCTACTAGTCCTTGGAACTAGACAACATCTGTGATACAACCTTGGAGACTAGTGACAGAACAAGTCTTTAAAATTACAATCTAATATGAACCTGCTTCATTTCAACAGCATATTATGCATATACATCGTAACCATGGTAACAGTCTAATAAAAAAAAACCCAGACTTTTATCATCTTTCACTTGAATTTAGAAGTTTTTACGAACAATGACATGTTCTCATGCACTGGTAATATTGTAATGAAAAGTTGATTATCCATGAGAACATGCCCCCGTTCTGACTTCAACTTGTTTCAGATTCAGAAACAGATACCGAAAACCTTATCCGGGTAGAATCTACAGAATTATTCATGTCATGATTTGAAAATACAGATAATGAAATGAAAACGTTTCTTGCATAAAAAACTAGTTATCGATGAATGTAAAAAATGGCAGATTTGAATTAAGAGATATTGGGGTTATATTTTAATAACGGCACAACCAGTATTTGTTTTTATTTACAGTGTGTACATGGCAGTGGAAAAATAAATAACTACCCTCGTCTTGTGATCCAGGCATGGGATATATATATAAACAAACAAAACTTGGTGTTGTATCCAATGTACCTTTCAGTAAATCAGTATGAAATAGATTCTCAAAGGGTAAATGCACCTTAACACCAACTTAATTAGCCAAGTTTGCAGAAGAATAAAACTATTTGCTTGTTTTACAAATCATACCAACCCCTGAATCACAAAACAGTCTAAAGTGCCATTTCAAAACCAGACTTGTATTATTCCATACCAACAGACATTGCAGGTCTCCATGGCAACCCGTCTTTTCACATCCTACAAGCATTCTTGTACACTGACATCTTGCTCTGACCAAAGCAGAGATACAGTCTGACACTGTACAAGTCTGGATTGAGTTGTCTCCCTTCCTCAAAATGTCGAAAAAACAGTTGACGTGCAGCAAACAAGCCTCACGTGCATCTGGGCAGAACTACTCGTATTTCAATACTGGGATAGGAATGTCAGTTTTGTTTAACACGGAGAACATGATTCTCCTCTGAAGAAAAGAATGTAACTTCCAAGTTATTGAGTAAAAATAATGCTTATGTAACTGACAATAGATCATTTGGCAACAAGTTCGTCTTCATTTGAAAAATAATTCTTTCTATTTGCATGTTTGCTACACTGGCTGCGAAAACACTTCAAGTGGAAGGAAGACTCTGACACTAATATAAACAACTGAGACCTCTTTGTTTTAAATAGCACCATGGCACAACATATTGCACAAGAATTTCACACATTAAATTAACACGGCCGGCAATCCTAGCACACAAATCAAGTCACCAAACATCTCAAACAGTCGCTCACAGAGCATCATCCCATTTCAGTCTCATGATGTTTTCTACAGCCAAGCAAATGATTCAAATGATTCCTCTTCTTCAATCAAATGGTTCCCTCTTTCGGCCAATCAGATGATTCCTTCTTCAATCCATTCAAATGATTCCTTCTTCAATCCATTCAAATGGTTCCTTCTTCCAACCAATAAAACGATTCCTTCTTCCAGCCAATCAAATGGTTCCTTCTTCCAGTCAATCACATGATTCCTTTTCACAATCAATCAAATGATTTCTGTTTTCAGCCAATCAAATCATACTTTCTGCAAGCTATTCATCTGATATAACATTTTGGCAGTCATATTGCATAATTTGATAATCAATCAACCAATCACAATGGGTTTTTCTCTCAACCAATCATAACTTTCAGCAATCACTTGCAGTCCACCAATCAGAGCTAACAGACAGCATCTGGATTAGTATTTCTTCCAATCACATTCCACGAAAGTTGACGTCTTCAGATCTGCTGAGATTAATGCCGAAAGGAAGTGTTAAACTTGCCACATCAGCAGTTTTCCTTCTTCATCTGAATCATCCTTGCTCTGAAATGGAGATGAAAATGATATACGTCATAAAAAAAACCAAAACAATACGTTCTTTGTTACTGCAGTCTCAGTAATATTAAATCATCTTCTGTGTCAAAACTAAATGGCTTCTTCATCCCATTTTACACATTACACGATATCGACGTACTGTGAATATAACTCCAATGAATGCCAAACAGGTCACTTAACACTGCAAGTGTTTTTTTCTTGCTTACTTTCAATCCATAAGCTCTCTTTATGTTTCATTTACGTAGCCTAGCAACCTTTCCTCACCTCTGATTGCAGATCTTTGAACTTCTCCCTCAACTCTTCTTCCACTGCAGACCTTGAGTCTATAGCACTTGCACTACCTGGGAATAATAATAAAAATCATCATCATCATCATCATCTGTATATTTCGCTTCCATTCCACATCATCATATGATCAGAATCACACAAAAATTCAATCCAAAACATCAACATCAAAGTCATTCAAAATTGCTTCACTTTCTTTCAAAATAATCATAATAGAAAAGAGCTTTTGAATGCAGAAACTTGAGACTTTAAATACAACAGAATCAGTATTGAATTCATCCTTCAAGCTAACAAAGGTGGCAGTGTTTCTAAAGTATGTTTGTTGGTTAATGCCCTATTCAGCAATAGTTAAGCCATATCAAGATCTGTACAGATTCCAAGTGACATTAAACCAACTCCGCTGCCATGGTAACAATATTATTATCATTATCATGATATTATGATGCAACATGAAAGCAACTCATTCATTTTGTGTTCTTGATTTTAATCCCATTTTCAATATGGCTGCCAGACGGCCATGTTGAAAATGTCACCTAACCAAGTGCGGGAAGAATGAAACGTACCTGTCTTGACGTGTTTGATGGTAGCAAAGTCCCTGTAGGAGTCCGACTGACTCCCCTGACGAGTGAGCGAGGAAGTAGATATAATGGAGGGACGGGGGGAGTGTAGCGGTGAGCAATAGATGGTATGGACGCTGCTGCTGCGAGTCATCGGCGACCGCTGCACCAACTTCAACGTCGCTTCCTTCTCGGTTAGCTGCGTTTGCAATGACTTCACCCTGTAGGAGATATGGTGTGATCATGAATATGAATAAAACATTCGGGATGCGCAATAAAAGTTTGAATCTGTTTGACAGCATACTTGCACAGAATGCAACTACTTTCTGCAACTTCTCTGTTTCATAGGGTTGGCTTTCCGCAGAAACCAAATGGGAAACTACAATTAGAAACATTGACCACAACACAGCAACTAACCTGGCCTCTAGTTCCGCAACTTTTCGGTTGGCCTGGTAGAGCTCTTCCATGTGCTTGAGCTTTTCAGACTTTGCCTCATCGATCAGCTTCTCCGTTTCTGCAGAATTCTTCTCCAAGGCTGCAAGTCGGACATCTCTGGAAAATAAACCAACAGAAATTATTAGTTAAAGCTTGTTCAAAATATTCAGGCAATGAAAACCAACTTCACTATGGATATATGTATAAGTAACCAGGTAGAACCCTTATCGTCATCAGGTTAATAACATGTAATACTTATTCTTTCTATATTCTTCATGGCTTAAAGTTACCTAAAACCAACAAGGCCTTACTTGTTCATTCATTTGAATATTCACATGCAGAATTAATTGTTACTTTTACGGATTGTAATCTTTTCTCTATAACATAAATTTAGGACATAGAACTGGCTGTGTTTATATGGGGAATAGAATAATGTGCATGGTCACTAACGCCTCAATGTAAACCTGTGTATTTGCAGCAGTTATGTCCCTTGATAGAGTTACCTCCCTTAAATTATCTAAGCCATGGGATGTTGCCTGTACTCCAAAATTGTTTGTCTCTTCCTTTTGAAGAAGTACACTGTACATCTGACTAAAAACATTATCTGATCCAAATAACAAATGAAACCTCCCTCCAGAGATATTAATGGCTGAATGTATTCAGCGTAGTGTGACTCACTTGGTGCCAGCACTGTCCTCCATCAAGAGCTGCCTCAACGTGCTCTCCTCCAGGTAGCGCTGCTCCCATTTGGCGATGTCCGCCTCCATCTCGAGGATCTTTGCCTCCTTCTCACTGAGCATCTGTTGTAGCCTCATCACTGTCATTGTGTCGCTGTTTAGACCTGGAACTCGCTTCCATCCCAACTGAAAATATTTGTGGTAAACATTTTCAGATTTCATAAAAATGGCAAAAATGGTTTGAAATCCCTCCTTCTCCAACAGACGTATGTTGTATTCTTGACTAGCAAATTCCCAAACATTTCCCAAAATAGTGTGAAAAATTACATTTTCAATATCGTTGACATGACAAAATATCTGACCAGATGTCAGTGAATGTTCAAGTCGAAGTGTTGCTGGTTCAGATGGGGTGTGTACAGTAGTCAATGAAAGAATTTATTCCCTTCAATGGCACTTTTACTGTATTTTGGATGTAATTCAGTGTTGTCACTAGCTTCAGCACTTCCAGCCATCCAAAGATGGCATACTTGTACATTCAAACACTACAAAGTGATAAGGTAGGCCAGTCAGCTTGTTTTTTTAATGTTGCATACAGCAATATTCCAGCAATAACATGGAAGTCTGTACATAATGGTGTATGGACCAAACAATCCAGTGATTGACATCATCAGCAACGATCTACACAACTGGGACATGATCACATAAACCATGTCAGCCAGCCAGCCTGACCACCCAATCCTCTTAGTCACTTCCTTCCCTGGATTATCATGATGTAAGTTCTTCAAAGCCAGCAAGTTTACAGAAGCAGGTTCTGATTACCTACCTTCTGTTGTGCCCGGAGTGAGTCCAGCTCTTTCTCCAGTTTGGCACGGAGTTGTCTGTCCATTTGTTCCCGCCTCTCGCTGGCCGACTGTAGAGACATGAGTGATTTCTGCATCTGCTCCATCTTGTCCAGGTGGCCTTGCTTGGTGGAACACTGGAGTCAACAAGCAGCAAGGGATAAACCAACTTGTCGATTCTTGTCCAGAAGCATTGCACTTCAAGTTTCTTAACTACTCTTCGTAACTTCTTTCCTAAATCTACAATTTTCTTTGTTGTTAAAATTTCATCAAAATTGCAGCTATATTCCAGCAGAAACAAAATTATATAAGTGTTTGATTATGACTGGTAGGGTCTTGTTCTATTCCAAAATCTGGAGCACCCATAGCATAGGGAGCTTAAATACTGAAAATGAATAAAAAATGAACTAACATGTTGTTTTTAAATACTGTGTAATTATGTATATCATTCTTATTAAACACTGTGTTTCCTCAGGAAACCTTAAGATGAAGCTACTAACCTCTTGACCAAGATGGACCAGTCTGGCTTCGGTGTTAGATAAAGTGGATTCTAAAATATCCAGTTTCTTCTCCTGTCCCTGCCCTGTTCGAGACAACAGATCCTTTTCTACAACAAAAGAGTAAATTTATACTAATTTGTTTGAAGTTTACACAGTTTCTTTACAAGTTTACAACCATTCAAACCAGTCCATGTTTTATCCTTAAACTGCATTCGGTAATCCATTAGAATTCACAAAAAAACAAAACAAAAACAACAAAAAACACAACCAAAAACATTAAGACATTTCCATTTCCACAACATGGGATTTGAACTGCCTTTGTTCAGGTTGACCTCAAAATGAACATTCAGTAATTCTCTACAGAGTTGTCTCCCTTTGTGCAACCGGCATGACTCAATGTTGCTACCTTACATTCTGGCATCTTATCAGACACCCACTGAGAGCTTTGCACACGCTTGCTCACATATCTTGTGCATGACTCACTGGGGCTCAGATAGCGAGGGCTTGTAGGCAAACAGGTAAACTTGTGAATGTCAGTACTTAGAGCTTTTGGAAATACTGTATCGGAATCAGACATCTTTGTAGGGCATTAATTGTCAATGGTTTTAATAAAAAAATGAAATAAAGACAGTAGTTTTAAAACATTCTCATCTGTTTTTGGAAATACAAGTACAAATATGTTTGAGTTTAGACATCTTTTGAAGATTGAGGTTTGTAAATTCAACATAAGTTACAAAGCAATTTCTATTGAATATCCATTTTATTCAGAGAAAAGGTCCTAAATTTCATTGCACAAACATGTTGGCCTTATCACAATTCAAGTATCACATCTCATGTTCTAAGCAGTAGTTGAACATTTCAGAAGGAAAACAAGATCTGCTCAAATCTCCTCGGAGAGATAAAATCGTGGCAGTGCTCTGCTATATCTAGGTAATTGACGCCATAGCGTTGATACCAAGTGGCTACGATTGCTTGAGCCTCTTCAGCAGAAACTTGCTGCGGCTCAAGTTACACATCTTTCAAATATAGGGCATCTTTATCATGTTCATACATGTACCTTAAGTGAAATTTTCAGTCAAGTTGAATCGAGGGCTAAAAATAAAATAGGGTTTTCGTGACATAGTAAGGGGAATATTGTCAATGTGGTTTAGTTCTCAGTGGGCTAGGACAAATACCTTTTAGCATTAATAAATTGAGTCATGGCTAATTTGTGAGTGAATATCACTGAATGACACATCAGCAAGTTTGCAGCTGATCCATGCAATGGTTGACATTGAGAGTATAAATACTATTTGTATGGTTTCCGCGAGAAGAATATTACTGACTGACTGACTGACTGACTGACTGACTGAGTTTGGTTTTACGCCGCTTTTAGCAATATTCCAGCAATATCATGGCGGGGGACACCAGAAATGGGCTTCACTCATTGTACCCATGTGGGGATTCGAACCCGGGTCTTCGGCGTGACGAGCCAGTGCTTTAACCACTAGACTACCCCACCGCCCCTAGAAGAATATGATAAACTTCCATTGACAACTTGGAAACTTAGGAAGTTACATGGACATTAGCACTCTACTTGGCTTAAATCTGGCATGACAACAAGGGGTAAGTACTCACTCTGAGCCAACAGTTTCCCCAGGTCTGCCGCCTTCTCATTATCCGACCTCAGATTCTGGAAGATCATCATCATCATCATCATCATCATCATCATCATCATCATCATCATCTTCAGATATGGATAGTCTTAGGGATAATCTTATCAATCCATTAACTAGAAAACTTATTTACTAATTATTTTAATGTCACACTCCACATTCATTACAGTAGCCTGTAAATCATGGATCAAAGACGGTCATCTGGGTTCAAAGTTATTGATAAAAAAATATTTATCAAGGAATACAAGAGTTTAGTTACCTGATTTTGTGACTCTTTTAATGACTTCTCCATTTTTTCTGAAAAAGCATAAAATATATTAATTTAAGATAAGAAAGTAACTTTTGTTTCACTTTATTTTATGGAACACTAATCTATTTTCTATTTTGCTTGTAAGACAATGAAGTGCTAATGCTGGTCAGATATAATGACAAAAGTTACCATATAACAATTACAAAAATTCAAACAATATTTAACAACCAAATAACTGCCAGACAAGAAACTGTTTCCATGACAACTGAGCATAATGGCCAGTAGATCAAAGGAACGAAGAAGTGTTCCATCACATGTACAATACATTTCACACTAGATCTGTAAGTTTTTAACAGACCTGAATTAAAAATTCCGACAGACTTGAAAGTGAGAGTCAGACATAATCACTGACTTCTTACCTCGTATGTCAGTATTTTCTGCTCTGGCTTTCTTCAGTTCGTCTTCTAAGCGTTTCTTTAACGTGGCTTCAAGCCGCTCGCGCTTCTCAGACGACTTTACCAGAGACTCATATGCTTCATGAACCTTCTGGATTTCAAATTCAAACTGAAACAAACACAAATATACCTACATTTTGATATTACATCAATGGGATACTGATGAGTGAGTGAGTGTATTGGGTTTTATTCCAGATACACTGCTGTACAAGTTGCATCATCTCAGCTGGACGTCTTTTAGAGACAAAATAGTGTTTTGGTCAACACTGCAAGACTTTTTATCACGATTGTCTAAGACATCCAGCATGTCCAGCGAACATTATACTTTGTTTGTAAAACAAAAATATGTGGTACATGTTTATATCTTTATTCATTTCCCAAAATTGTGTAAATGTCTTTACCTTTTGTAATTTCGAAACTTTTTTGTAGTTTACTTCTAACTCATCTCGCAGACGTCTGTTTTCCTCTGACAGCATCTCGATGACCTGCGTTGTCCGCGCTGCCATGGCAAGGTGATCGACCTCCTCATTCTGAGCGTGGCTGCTGAACACATTACCAAGAGTGAGTGAGTGAGTTGGGTTTTATGCCACTTTTAGCTTTATTCCAGCAATATCATGGCGGGGGACACCAGAAATAGGCTTCACACATTGTACCCATGTGGGGAATCGAACCCTGGTCTTCGGCGTGACAAGCGAACGCTTTAGCCACTAGGCTACCCCCCACCCCACATTACAAAGAGCCCTGATGATACACATTTAATGACACAAACATTTTGCTGTTTAAATTGTTGAAATGAGTTGTAGTACTCTCCCAGGGGTTTCAAGGCTGAACAAATAAACCAGTGGTTGATGTTATGAGCAGCATCCATAGTGAGTGAGTGAGTGAGTGAGTGAGTTTTATGCCGCTTTTAGCAATATTCCAGTAATAGTACAGCGGGGACACCAGAAATAGGCTTCACACATTGTACCCATGTGGGGAATTGAACCCGGGTCTTTGGCGTAATGAGCAAACGCTTTAACCACTAGGCTAACCCACCGCCCTAGAACCACTGTGAACCTCGGCCTCATTCCACAAACAATAGTAGCATCACGACTATCGCAAGTCGGTCTTAAGTATGCAGTTAAAGAAACCGTTCAAAATTTCCCACTGACCACAGGACCAGTGAGTTGACAATAACTAGTGGTCCTGTCTGTATTTGACTGGTCCAAAATAACATTCCTGTATTTACTTAACTATCAGTACAAAATACATTGGCTAACAGGACCAGTGCAAACTTATCATTTAGTGGTCCTGATGAATTTTTACTAGCCAGGGACCACAGTACCAGCATAAATTTCGCATACTGAATATGGGAGTTACCATAACCTTAGCTCTACTATCGCTTTATGGAATGTACCAACGATCATTGTACCATGGACATTATAAATGTATGAAGAAGAATCCCAGGAGTGGGTAGCTTCTGTTGTACAGTGTTGCAACTAGGGGTGACTATTGAGGGGGAAACAACTATTGCGATAGCGATAGTCTATTGCAACATACTATTGTGATACTATTGTAATAGTTTTTTTCTCTCCTTGAATTCTCTCATTTGAAGTCATTTCCCAAATGAATGTATAGTTTAAATGAAATATAAACAAGTTGAAGTAGTTTCAGTCTCTACTAATAACTGACAAGAAACTTGAAACCCAGATCAAGTAAACAGTTAACACATCAACTCAATGAAGCTGCAAGTCTGCACCCAAACATCCTGTTTTTTGCGCTGCGCATTCATCAACGGAAGTCAATTACTAAACTATCACACATACTATCAATGTATTGATAGTTTTTCGTTTCTAGCTATCGGAGACTCATCAATTGCAATCCATCGATAGTTCAATGCATTGTTACAGTCCTAGTCGCAACGCTGTCAGTAGCACCAAGGTAAACATTATTACTTGCAACATCATAAATAAGATGAGTGAGGGAGTTGGGTTTTACGTTGCTTTTAGCAATATTCCAACAATATCACAGCAGGGGACATCAGAAATAGGCTTCACGCATTGTACCAATGTGGGGAATCGAACTTGGGTCTTCGGCGTGACGAGCGAACGCTTTCACCACTTGGCTACCCAACTGCCCCTTGTATAAAGGAAGGGCACTGAAATGGCTGTGTGGTTAAAACGATCCATTGTTACGCCAAGGAGCTAGTATCACATCCCTACATTGGTATAATGTGTAAGGCTCATGTCTGGTCTTCCCCAATGATATTGCAGGAATATTTCTACGCCATTCCCTCACTCTTGGAGTCGCACATGCCCATTTCAAAAAATAAAATTAAAAATTCATACCCACATTGGAACTATTATTAAGGTTAAGACTTTAAATCATAAATCCATTTTGTAAACCAATGGTACAAGTTCTTAGTTAAATATATTTTTTTCTACCTGCCATAAAGTTTAAGAAAAACATAATAAAAAATAATAAATGCAAAGAAAAGTTAATTTTAGTTAGACTATTAGGTGTTAGCTAGAACACTTACCTTAAACCTGCTGTGGAGAATTTAGGATCACTAGCATACACTGGCATGGCAACTTTACTTTGAGAATCAGATAGTCTTGACAGATCAGGCTGTGATCGAGTCAGTTCTATTTTTTCCATGGTTTCATTTGACTTTCTGAGTTCGGGTTTCTCTGTTGTATGCGGTGCTTTCGGGCCTGGATATTCCCGGCGGTGGCGGCAGGTTTGAGAGATACGATATTAACTGACTGCCTTGATCTGTAGAAGACTGAGAACTCCATTGTGAGTTTACATACTGAGGAATAGTCCTGTATGTCGAAATCAGATTTTGATTATATTCAACGCTTCTCGAAACCGACACTGGTGACTGTGTTGTGGTGACCATTTGTGGTGACCACTGTGGCACGGTCAGTTGACCCGATGCATACACGGGCGAGGCCTCACTGTAAGCCGTGTACACCTTGCCCTGTGGGGGGCCAGTTATGAAATATGCAGGCACTGGGGTGGGTTTGAGTTCCACGGAGGTGGAGGTGGGCATCCCAAGTCGGGCCAGAATGCTATAGTCACTGTCAGTGGCATTTAGATCCAGCTGATTGTATAAGTTCTGGGTTTGAGTCTCCTCCCCTTGGGGCTCCTGGCGCTGTGAGGTTGCAAGGTTCTCGGTGGACGAAACAGAAACATCGGTGCTGGTCTCACTGCCAGAAAAACTCTGACGAAGACCTGGAATAACGATAATACTATTTAAGTCAGATAAAAGCAAAATGGACCTTGAAGATAAGACATTTTTAGAAAGAGATAATGTCTGATCTAGGGGTTACCTTGTTGTTTCAAGAGCCCTGGATAGATTGTGGAAGAAATACATAATAGCTGACCTGGATAGATAGTGGTAGAAATAAATAATAGCTCACCTGGATAAAAAGTGGAAGAAATACATAATAGCTCTCCTGGATAGACTGTCAAAGTAATGAACAATAACTCACCTGGTTACAGGTTATGCTAATCCAAGGGTCTTGAGTGAGTGAGTGAGTGAGTTTAGTTTTACGCAATATGCCAGCTATATGTCGGTGGTCTGTAAATAATCGAGTCTGGACCAGACAATCCAGTGATCAACAGCATGAGCATCAATCTGCGCAATTGGGAACCGACGACATATGTCAACCAAGTCAGCAAGCCTGACCACCCGATCCCGTTAGTCGCCTCTTATGACAAGCATGGGTTACTGAAGGCACATTCTAACCCGGACATTCACGGGTCAAGGGCCTTGAGAGATGGTTTAAAAAAGAGACTATATCTCACCTGGTTGCTGGTTATAAAGTTGTTTAGAGTGCCCCGGATAGGGAGGTGGTTCTCGGTACTGGTTCTGCATCGCGATCACCTCGTCATACGTTGGTGCATAGTGAGACGTTAAGCCGCCGAGAGGGTAATCTGAAGTACAAATTGTTTCCATTAGCACGAGCTCAAACACAAATTTTAGTTAACAGTTATTCAGACATAATTTGAAACATAGTTAACTTTAGTTTTCCAGAACAACAATAGTGAGGAATATATATGATATATAGTATGACCAGAAATTATTGAGAATTTTAGGAATATGTTTAATTGGATTTCTAGTATAAACAACCTTGACCAGCTATCAAGTGCATGGTTTCATTCAAGAGAGACAACTCCATTCATCCTTTTTCATTAGATTGTGAAGAGTTATCCCCCTTTGTTTACTTGCTAGCAGACGACATTATCAGTGATCCTCAGTATGGATGATTTAGAGAAGGGGAAGTTGATTTTAGAGTATTATAACAAGGACATCAGATCAGCTAAAGTGATTTCAAGTAGAACAGGCATCCCTTTGTCCACTGCTTATCGTGTTTTGAAAAATATTGCAAATGGATATGGCATTGAGCACCAGGGAGGCGCAGGTAGGCCCAGAAAATTGACTGTCGGTGACAGGAGGTGGCTTGGTATTCTTGTTTCTAAAAACAAACGAATGAGTTTAGAAAACTTAAGGCTGGATATGATAGAGGAACTGTGGCTGTCTGTAAGGAGACAATTAGAACTGAGCTGCATGCAATGGGTTGGCAGAAAAGTCGAGGAATTCCATCACCGATCATGAAACCTGAACAAAAGGAGCGAAGGTTGAACTGGTGCTTACAGCATAGAAATTTTAACTGGAACAATGTGATTTTCTCAGATGAAAGTTCTGTGTTGCTGTTTCCTAATACACTGAAAATCTGGACCAAACAAACTGAAAAACCTTTGTATCAGCGCCCAAAGTACAGTCCGAAACTTAACGTGTGGGGTGGCATATCTGTGTTAGGGGCAACGCCCCTCTGCATGTTTGAAGGGAATATGAACAGTGAGCGGTACACAGATATTCTCGAGGGACATTTACTTCCATCTGCTCACGTGTTCTATGGAAATGTTTGGAATTTCCTGCAGGACAATGACCCAAAACATCGTTCAAAGCATTCACAGGCCTGGTTTCAGACCCAAAATATGACATTATTAGATTGGCCAAGCTATAGCCCTGACCTAAATCCAATAGAAAATGTTTGGGGACTTATGAAGGAAAGTGTCAATAAGAAAAATCTGACAAATATTGCTGAAATGAAAGAAGAGGTGGTCCGATATTGGGACAGCATGGACCACGACTTTCTAACTTCTTTGATCAGAAGTATGCCCTGCCGCATTGAAGCCTGCATTGCTGCCCATGGTGACTTGACAAAATACTAACTGTTCACCTGTCTTTGAATCTGGAGTTATGTTCTGCTCATATTCACATTTAATACGTGAGAAATGAGTGAAAAAAATTAAAAAATTACAATCTTTAAATTCTCAATAATTTCTGGTTGTACTGTATCATTTACTTAGTAACTACTATCGAAAAGATTGTCTGGTCCAACTCCATTATTTCACACTACTATCATATAGCTAGAATAGTACTGAGTGCAATTTCAAACAAACCGTGGAAAATATTTTAGCTTTATCAATATTTGAAGTTAATTTGTTCACCACCATTGAACTGTAAAAACATTTAACTGTGTATGGTTAACATAAGCCCTTTTCCTTTGATAGTTCCTAAGTGCTCTTAGTGAGCATCATGGTGAATGCCATACATTAAGCAAAAACAAGGCATCTGATACCCGTCACCTCCTTGGCTTATAATGCCTACAGCATAAAACATCACTCACTTACTCAGGCTTAAGGCATACTTCAGTGATGAAAAAAATCAATTCTACTAAATCTAACAAGCACTTATAACAAAGAACTCACAACGCTGTAATTATTATCATGCTTTACACATGACTAGCCACAAGCAAATGTTTGTGTTTCTGGTACTTACTTAAGACTGAAGTTATATATCCTTAAATATATATCCATTACTATTCTCCTGATCTCTATCTTTCTATCCCTATCTCAAAGATCATTACCTGAAAGTTGGGTATCACTGTCTGATCCTGGCTAGATAACAGCTGGTTATACAACACTACCATAGGGTATAACAGTCCATATCATCTTGTAGGTAAGAGATATCAGGATATCAACATGCATAACGCATAATTAAATTCATTTCTGTTGCAATTCCCCTAACTATGAACACTAAATGCATAGAATGAGCTAATCTGACGAAACAGGAACTGAAGATCTAGTAGATTGTCAGTAACCAACACGGAAAGGGGATTGTAATGGGAGAAACCACGGGACAGGAAGTGATGATTATAAGTTACGTCTTTCATGGAAGTAAATGGACATATTTCACGGGACCATCCTGTCAGATGCCCGCAAAGCCATGACACCTTCCCTCTATATGATCATTATAGCACAAATAGTATAAATAGATTCAATGTTTTCAAAATCACAACTTTGATGAAGATAGGGTACTTTCACACTACTTTTATACACAGGTTAATGTTTATCAGCAATACATGTACCTCTATCAGACGTTATGTTGAGCAGTTTCTGAAAGTGTGGGAGAGAGGGACCGAGTATGGAAACTATGGTTAAAGTAAGTGATATTTACCACGAAGGGCTACGAATGATATATAGACATTAGTGTGAAATTCTTGCCATATTATTACATTTATGTCAAAAGCTTAATACTTTTTTTTTTTTTTAAATGCAAATTGATGAGCTTTGTTGATGATAAATCAAAGTTTTCCTATATACACCTAGTTTCATTGAGTATACAATATTACCCTTTGTTTAATTATCTGTTTATATATACATTCAAAGGCAAAAAGGAGTCACAGTAACAAGATAAACTTTTTGAGGTATAATCATTAAACAATAATATTAATGAATACTTTCAAGATAACCTGTGTAGATAAGATAAGATATTTATTGCATAGCATTCCATGAAGAAACAGTGGCAATATTCTATAAGCTACAAATATTTACACAGTAGGTACAAGAAATATAGATACATTTCACACATAAATGATGTACATTATAACAATTTTTTTAGAAATCATGTGGTATAATGACATGGAAATAATATATAAGGAGACTATGGTAAGATATAACATTCATTTAAAGTTGTAAAGATATAAACAAGAAATATTTATACTAGGAAGGAGCTTTGTGACAAAGAGCAGGTGCCCTCGACAACTCCCTCCACTCGGACACACACATGGACAGTCTTTGTTACCCACCGGTATCCTTCCCTATATCCGATATAAACAAAACACTGTCCTTCCCTATCACACATCATCAGCATGTGATGAAAATGTAAGACCTGGCCACACTTACCTAAATACATAGTACTCCCTAGATAACATCCAGCGAACGGTCACTTGAAGACACAGTATATACACTAGCGAAATTCCTCACTGAAATGCCTCTCTACCTAGCAGTGATCTCTCAATGCCTCCAAGATTCCTGCCCACTCAACCACGACCTTACTACACACCAGCTGCTCCTACAGAGTCCAACAATGAGAAAAAAAGGACCTGGAATGCTAATACCTCGTGTTCGGCCAGGCGTGAAAATTCAGCCGCTTTCATAGCTGGCTCATTACAGGAGGTAAAGCTTCCTGCATATTTCCCTGAAGGAAAGTGTGGGGAGACGGCTTGCCCTGATGGAGGGATTGGTTTATGTCTTCTGCTATAGCTAGCTGCCCCGAAACCTAGTGAATAAAAACCTGTAGGCTAAACTGACACATTCCTGTCTGACGCTGTGCTTTTACACATTTATCAGAACGTGATTAATAGCCGGACAAAATTTTATAGGTTTTTGGGTCTATATTTGATGGTGCACACCATGATATATACCATGATATATAGCATGATATACATATTTGATATAAAAAATATCACCACAAATATCCGAGGCTTTTACTTCTATCAACAAGTGTTGATATATTTGATATCAGAAGACACGAGGGTGAGGTTATATTTAACATAAAAAATCACTCTTCATTACTTTTCAATAAAAATGTACATCTCTGAACACGGTTCTGCCATATTAGACTTGCAGTGCAGCGATGTCATAGCATTGTGACATCATCAAGTACATGACATCACAGCATTGTCAGGGCATTGTACAAAATCTACTGTCAAAATGATATCTCCTTGGAGATATCGTTTGATTTCACACAAGCAATATCTCCTCTGGAACAGTTTTGGATGATAAACTTATTTATACCCTTAAAATGTAACATATGTTACATTTGGGATTGCACTTTGTAAGAAAGTACAGATTCTAGTACTTTTGTTGGGTTAAGTCCAAAAGTACTACAATCTGTACTTTACTAAGAAAGTGTTATCCCAAATATAGCATATGTTACATTTGAGCACTTTCTAAATGGCATTGTGTATTCATACCCTTAAAATGTTCAAATAAGTAGACAAATTGGCTTACATAGGAAAAGCATTTTGGGCACTGCCAAACCTGCTTAGCATGCCATGTTTAATTTATACATTTATCAATCTATTAAAATTGTGTGTAATGACACATGGACATAGAAAATAAGCTTTAAAATGAAAGCCAAAAACAAATGAATTAAATAGCATCCAATAATAAAGTAATCTTCATTTTAGTCACTTGTCCTCATGACAATGATTACGGGATTTATATAATAAAGAATAATACACGCTAATTTACATTTGTCTTGTCAACACCCAGTACTTTTATAATAACAAGCTTTAGGCTATAAAACAGTTGGTCTTAAAGACCCTTAAGAATAAATTAAGACTGGAATCCCACTCAAATCCAGATTGATGAAACAAGTCTTGCCGTGAAATTGTACTGAGCTCAATCTGCATTTATGTTTTTACATTTTAGTATATTTTTAGATAAGATAACTCTTTTTCTTGGACTAAATGAAAGTCGAAATAAAGGACAGTGTCAGCATTTAGTTCAGCAGACTATCTTTGTTAAAAAATAATAACCAAAATTCATGATTAAAATTATGATAAGTGCATTCAACTGATGATAAATTATGATAAGTGCATTCAACTGATGATAAATTATGATAAGTGCATTCAACTGATGATAAATTATGAATTCAGATCATATTAACCTGATTAAAAGGAGATGTAAAATAACAGGATGATAGGAATCAGTCCACATGAGAGTTGTAAAGTTTATGACTTAATGAAACCCCAAACTAGAGAGGTAATTGGTCAGTGCTCTACACACAAGGAGATGGACAAGATGAGATCTGTGATAGCCCTACCCAGACAGACAAGATAGTATCACTTCCAAGTTCTACAGTCTCATAAGCAGCTGCTGAAGCCCCGAGGCGATCCTCACCTAAATTACAGTGGAATGCCATACAGCCCCAGGCAGAGAGGGGATGTGTCTGGCTGAATCCAGGCAGATGATCCATAGCTATGTGAATGAGTTACAATGTTGCTGAAATGGGGTTTTTAGTGCGGAGAGAATTTCAAAAGAAATTCATGAGTGTAACAATTATTTACTACCTATTTTAAGACTCCTAATGTATGTTGAGATGAACACAATTTATATCAATGGTGTCATTAAGTAAGGTATGGGTTTGATGGAAATTTATAAAAATTGGGCTTGAAATAACTGGAAGAATCCTCCTTGAGAGCCGAGTTTTTTTCGTACTCTCGTCAAATGTTCTCACACTGAATGGCCAACTATTCATCATTGTCACAAGATTCACTTACACTGGTTTTGAGAGTGGTTTTCATGGAAATAATATAAGAATGATAGTATTTAAATAACAAAGAAAATGTCACAAAAAAGCCAAGTGTTTTATAAAACCATTCTTAACATTATAGAGATCTCAGCAGAATATTATGTGGTAGGGCTTATTGTTTCAGTCAAAAGATAGGCCTGTGTACAAAGTACATCAAAATGTAATTAATATACTACTCATTTTTAAACAATTAAACCTCACATATATTCAGTTGTTAAAATAATGGTAGATCACTATGATGAAACTTGTGGAAAAAAAAACCGAAAAAATTTAGAAAATTATTTCTGACATTTAAAGTTCATAAGCAGGCACTGGATTCCACGCTTCATTACATGCAGATATGCGGAGATCCCATCATCGTAATGTAACAGACACAGACTAAACTCGAACCATACCTGGCAATCTCATAGTCAACATCCTGGCAGAACCTGGATCAAATCTGAAAACTCTTTTCAAATGAAGCACCTATTTGACAATAATCCACTGTTGAGAGTTGAGAAGAGAGTGTAGTACACTGGGCTGGTATATCCAAGTGTATGTCGAAGAATGTCTCACGTTGTCTTCAATCTCTTCAACTTCTTACATTCACCTACTCAGGTAATACAAAGTACATAGCATGTGACACATTGTACATTCCTTCAGTCTGTAACACACAAGCAGTCAATAAAACATTATAGTCCAGCCATGGGGAACACCGATATGATATACAAAGCAGGGAGTGCACGTTCACTTTATATGCCAGCGTTGTATATCATACGTATCACACTGGTATTCAAGAGCCCATTCAATTGAAAACTGTAGACAGTTTCTTCGTGGTTCAAACTCATAAAGAAGTACTTCTGTGGAAATATGCCGCTATTCATACAGGTCTTTGTCAAGGATATTACCCAGGCCATAAATGATTCAAAGCATCAGAATCAACATAGTAATTAATTGCAGACTGTCAATGGTGCATTTCAAGCCATGAAAGAAACTTGTCTAAGCAACGCATGCTTGACATTCTTAGTTAGTATCAAGAGGCCGCCTCCTGACAGTCAGCAGGAGTATTAGGTGTACTGGGCTGCTAGTCGGGGAAATTCTACGTGGAGGTTTGTGTGTTCAGTGACGAGGAACTCCGTAGACCTGTCCAAGGGAGAAATATGTACAACGGCAAGAAAACACCATTCAGTGGGCTCACAGCCCTGTAAACAACGAATTCCAACATGTGCTCCCCTACATCACCGAGCTACATACCTAGAGTGACCGACTTCTCCTGGGAAGATTGAGGACTTCCATGACATTGTTTATGAGGTCAAACTAATGTTGATCAGCTGAACTCCTTTGTTTTAACTACAAAATAATTAAATGAAGTTTTTGCAGGAATAATTGTGGTTTTGAACACTTTTTCCTAGCACTTATTTCATGTTATTGATCGTTTTTATTTTAAGTAACTATCAACCATTAAATGAAATTCCTGTTCTCACTACTTCACCAATGCCAAAACTCTGTGGTTAACCCTTTGCTCTCACTGGCTTATTTAATGAACACTAGACATATTCTCGCTGCACTTTAAAGAAAATATGGTTAAAATCAAAACATTCTAGACTTGCATGCAATGTATTGGGTATATTTGTTTCAGGCTCTGTATCACAGACTTGCACCTATCATAGATAGATAGAGAGAGAGAGAGAGAGAGAGAGAGAGAGAGAGAGAGAGAGAGAGAGAGAGAGAGAGAGAGAGAGAGAGAGAGAGAGAGAGAGAGAGAGAGAGAGAGAGAGAGAGAGAGAGAGAGAGAGAGAGAGAGAGAGAGGAGAGAGTGAGAGAGTGAGAGAGTGAGTGAGTGAGTGAGTGAGTGAGTGAGTGAGTGAGGGCATTAACCACAAGACTACCCCACTGCCTGTCAGACTAGCATGAATAGTGAAGGTTGAGTGGCCATGTCTATTGCTGGTTCCACACAGCTTTGAGCAGTATTTGAACATCATCATCGTGTGTCAGCTTCATGCTCAACTTGGAGAATGTTGATCCTACCAGCCGCTCAGCCGGCATGAACACGTTACTTCAGCAGATGTAACCTAATCACATGTTCCAAGCAACAACAAACACTAAAACACAGCTTGAATACTGTCTAACTTGTACCTTTGTTACACATTCAACTTGCTCACAATGCAATATTTGCATACATCTTTATGTGAACACAAAAGTATTATATTAAGGAACTGTAGGCTTATAGTAATCCTTGCTTTACTGATATTTTAGGACAGTAGGTATGTCACAATGGCGGACACTGAGGAAGTCAGAAACTGAGTGAGTGAGGGAGATTTTAGGACCATTTTACCAATATTCCTCCAATATGACAACTGTGCTTCCCACATTGTACCCAACATATAAAAAGAAAGAAATCTATGAACTAAATAAATACCCTAAGAAAATAGGTACCCATGGTTACATCACTGTTAAATAAAGTCGAACTTAAGTGTAGAATGATTGGGCATGTCCAAATCACTTCATTTCTGAAATTAATAATTGTTATGGGACCCTTTGGGTTTTATTTCTTATTTTCACAGATTTACTTTTATAAGTAAGATATCTTTATTTCTGGGAGTACATGTTTCTATACTTCCAATACAACTCCTGCATTCAAAATAAATCATTGAAAATGAGGGGATATTGTCTTATTAATTATACAATCCTATTAATACAACCTCATATTTAAGGGTTTCCTGTTTCAAATACTATAGACGAAAATGTCGATGCCAAAGAACTTCCATTTCAAACAGCAAACCCCCACATTGTTGTTAATTAACTAACACCACTTCAACTTAAACACTGACATGAGAATAAGTTACGCATTTACCGGTTAAGCTGTGGAAAACCACAGATAACTTCCGATATGCACACAACACACAACCACCAACAACAATAACACATTATTTAGTGGACAAGTTGGCCTGCTGCTAATCACACCACTCTGATTATATCCCAACAGCAGCCCGACCAGCAGGGGTGCACCCAAATTAGAAAATTACATCGGTAAATAAGCATGTTCACAGCTAGCCCTAAACACAGTAGAACACACGCTACCATTAACTATTTATGTCTCAGTCATGTCAAATTTCAAAACTGGCTTCAAAACATGCCATCAAGGTCAAAGAGACACAAAAATGTGATTATTTGTCCTGGCAAACATGTCCCACATGACAAAATGTGTAGTCCTGCTGAGTACTTTTACATTCTTGTGGCATAACATTTAATTCCTCATTAGTTCTCTTTAAGACAAAGACTCTGTTCCCCAGCAGTATCCTGAAGGTTTTTCAGTTGTAGAAGTATTGTATGTTTGAAGCATGCAGCAAGATATTTGTAATACATCAAGTTCTCTTTTTGACCCTTTAATTAACAAAATGTATATCTGTGAAAAAAAAATCTCTTTTTTTTCTTTATTCCTTTATTTAAAATATGCACATCTGTGAAAATATTTTTCTCTTTTTATTCTTCTATCGTTTAATTAAACCTGACAACAGGTAATACTTTTAGGAGATAAACATCATGTGTTGGCCAATTTCCGGGTGTTATTGAGTATTTAAAATTGAAGCACGGGAATTCATTTGGAACCGATGGCGTAGGCCGAGGACCCTTGACAACAGGCAATACTTTACAGTATAAAGCCAGGGCCCTTGACAACAGGCTATAGTTTACAGTATAAAGCCAGGGCCCTTGACAACAGGCTATAGTTTACAGTATAAACCCAGGGCCCTTGACAACAGGCAATAGTTTACAGTATAAAACCAGGGCCCTTGACAACAGGCTATAGTTTACAGTATATAAGCCAGGGCCCCTTGACAACAGGCAGTATACGCCCAGGGCCCTTGACAACAGGCTATAGTTTACAGTATAAAGCTGGGCCCTTGACAACAGTCAATACTTTACAGTATAAAGTCAAGGCCCTTGACAACAGGCTATACTTCACAGTATAAAGCCAGGGCCTTTGACAACAGGCTATACTTTACAGTATAAAGCTGGGCCCTTGACAACAGTCAATACTTTACAGTATAAAGTCAAGGCCCTTGACAACAGGCTATACTTAACAGTATAAAGCCAGGGCCTTTGACAACAGGCTATACTTTACAGTATAAAGCTGGGCCCTTGACAACAGTCAATACTTTACAGTATAAAGTCAAGGCCCTTGACAACAGGCTATACTTTACAGTATAAAGCCAGGGCCTTTGACAACAGGCTATACTTTACAGTATAAAGCCGGCACCCTTGACAACAGGTAATACTTTACAGTATAAAGCCAGGGCCCTTGACAACAGTCAACATCCTGCAATACAAAAGTTGTGTCTTATACACACTTACATCATGTAAACACGCTACAGGAAAATGGTTTACCAGAAGTGAAAAAAGTTAACATTAAATAAAAACATCCTTACTTGATTCACTGACGCCAAAAGGTTGGCCGTAGACTTTCCCATATATTTTAAGATGTGTCTCACCATCTGTCCAGCGCCATATCTTTAACCTTGACTGACTTCACAAACCTGACCATTTCTCTCCTCATACTGAACACATGTAATTCACAAGTATTTTTTCATTTGAAAAAAAAAATCCCCATTTAAATAAATGATATTACTTCAGCATCTGTGCAAATTCTTTTCCAACCATTCACTGTGGAAAATAACAAAGTAGCCAAAGGACATTTATCATTTAATGATAAATTAGCAGTATACACATGCTACATTCTTACTCTTTCATCAGGAGATAAAGTACCTCCATACATTCTGTCCTACATGTGAACCACTTCTTAACGATATTCAAAGAAGAGCTCAGCCTTCACTACAAGAACATATCCACAAAACTATTCAAGATTCCTAACATATTTGGTTCAGCATATGTAGACATTACACACTGATCAATTTATCAATGCATATGTTAATTCTGTGTCAATTTTCAAAATGTTCTGTTAAGCATTGCAATAAATAAGCTGATTACTAATCTGGGTAGTTTTAATGTTGGAAATCATATTTCAAATTAATACCCATTCAAATTGCATTAGACCATCAACGATGTCTCCCAGACATTTCGGTTTAACAAATCTGGTCGTCAATAATGACCCCACATGAGACTGGCCTCACAGGACGTTGAAATTTCATAAAATAATAAAACTAAGACTACATCCATCCAGTAACTCAGGCATTGAAATTAGCATTAAGTTTAACAGTTGTGATGTGACCCAATAGTTGATTTTACATATACAAACACAGAGTAAATATTTTTAACGAAACTAAAATCTTCACTGACAAAATGCCTTGATGAAATTCGGTCTTGATTCTACAGCCTGATAAGATGATAAACTCACTGGCCACTGATAGCTAATACCAACAAAAGATTGTCTACACATGTAAGATAAGTTGTGTGGCGAGCAGTACTGAGAAAGGAATGTCGTCCACTGTGCCACAAAGAATGACATACCACACGCTATTATCCTATAATAAGATAAATACCTCCCTGGACTCCAGCACATTCCACCCTCTACAGAGCAAACACAGAGGGGGTCTCGCACACCGGATTCTTATCACTAACTAATAGGGCTCAAGTTATTGTCAGCTTGAGTGAAAACTCAATTTATTGAGTAATTTAGCAAAGGCATGAGGAAACTGGTCTATCAGACCTGCTCTAATTGCTTGAACTTGTGTTTATTACACAGCCAGGATATATAACCATTTAAGGCACACAAATCATTATCACAGATCGGCAGTACTACTAAATATAACCCTTTAATCATGTCAAAGGAATGCGCTATCGGCAATGCTTTATCATGTCAATTGATAAGATGTTTAC